TATCTTGAGGACCAAGGGCAGTTCGCACGACCCGAGGAGATACGACCTCCTCCTATGATGGTGGATGGACGAGAGGAATTCAAAGTCAAGCGAATCTTGGATAAATGCACATGCCGGATCGACCAGGAGGAGCGGGTAGAGTACTTGGTAAAATGGAAAGGGTATGACAACTATGACAACACCTGGGAGCTGATGATTAAACTTATGAGAGCGAGACGGCTGGTCCAAGATTTCGAAGCTGAATCCACGCCGGGATAGCATCTCAAGACGAGGGCGTCTTGCAGCAAGGCCGGAGGATGTAAGGGTGGAACATTAGGTCCATGCATAAAGTAGGTGGGTGTGTCGCCCCGTGTTGTCCAAACTAGAGGTGGCCACCCGGATCCGTTAATAGCGGACAAAGGTTAATTTCCGTTAATTTTCCGTTAATTAACGGAAAATAACGAAAAAAGACAAAAATTAACCAAAAATTAGCGGATTTTTGGATTTTTTGGGGATTTTGGGTTTTAGTCATACTTATAGTTTATGGAATTCGCTATTAGAGAGTATGTTTGTATTTTATTTCAACCTATGCATACTAGATTTTCAACTAGCCGCAGTTGTTGTGATTTTTTGGTTTTTTTTTCGATTTTTTTGGATTTTTTCGTTTTTTCTGATTTTTTCTCCCCTTTTCTTTAACGAAATTTAACGGACAGCTGATAAAAATTAACGAACCGGATTTAACGGACTGGATGGCACCCTTGAGTGGCCACCTCTAGTCCAAACACGCTTAGCACAACTGGGAGTGGTACTTGGGGACCAAACAGAACGGGTTTGAAATAATAAAGGCTGGCGAGCCTTGGGGACCGGTAGGACGGTGAACGGAAGAACAAGGGACAAACGGATTTGAATTGGAAACCGCCGGGTGTGCCAAAAATAGGGTGACTCATCCTATTTCTGGCATGACCCTTGGGATGCCTTGGGAAGGCGGGTATAAATACAAAGACACCAAACAAGCTTGTAATTGAAGTTTCGAAGCAAGTTCCGACCAGGCCGGCTCCCACCTCAAACGGGATACCGCGGGCCATTTCCTGACCGGCCAAAAGGGGACGTCGCCCCTTGCACTGGCCCAATCATCAGCCTTGGTCATTTCCAATTAATTTGTGTTTTTCTACAAGGCCGGACCCGCGCCCACTGCGCATGCACTATCCTGTGATTAACCCAGTGCAACGTCGCATTGTTGGGTGTACTACCATATGGTCCTTTTAGTCATATGATGCAATGCATATGTGTGATGTGTTAGGGCCAAAATAGAGATGGTTAGGATGCCTTGAGTGATAGTTGAACTAAAAGGCGTTTAAAAACGATTTGAGCATATTCAATGGCAATGAATTGCAGGCACTTTAACTTGATCTTTTAAAACCAAGTTGAAGGAAACAATTAGAGCATGAAATGCTATCCAATCGTTGGGTGGGCTTGTGCATCGATTAGTATAGCATTGAATACAACGATTGTTATACTATTCTGTGCATCCATCAGTGTGCCAATTGATGTGCCCATCTATGCACCGATTGCGGCGTGGCAATAAGGGCAAGGTTGGGGTTATTTAATCTAGTGATGTGGACTCTCATGATGCGAAGCCGAGTGGCATCAGTAAATGCCACGATCCAAATCGATGGGACAACTTCATGGGGCCGTGCAGTTGGCCTTTGGAATACTTTCCTGTCATGTCTTGTAAGGTGTAGTGTTTTAGCACCCGTTTTTTAAAGTAGCTTTAAAAATCTACGGATTGACAAGAAGAGAGAGAGAGAATAGGATTGTTGTTTGTTGACAATATTTAAGTGGATTTTGAAGGAAATCTCGTCTTTTGCCTCCACACATGGGCACATAATATTAGTGTCCCCCCAAAAGCTATATTATGTTTTCCATTATCATTGACATATTTAATTTTGTCCGTGATTTTTCCGTTTGTTTTTGGGATGATGATATCAACTGTTGTCCATTATATGTCAGCATTTATTGTGTATTGTCCATTCACCATGTTTTTTTTCCTCAAGATCATTTTTTCATCCATACTGGTCTGTTGCATGCCGAGGAGCATGCAGGAATGAGCGTGCAAGAGGGCGTTTGCAAATAGATTAGGCACAGGGAGGGGCGTGGGCGAGGGGCAAGGCGGGGTAGCTCAGGCGCTGGAAGCCGGGGCCTTGGCTGCCCTACTATTGACTGGAGATTGAGTGCCGATTGGCAGGCGCCATAGCAGGCCATCGCCACAGCCAGGCATAGTTGTGGGGATCACTCGTTGTGCTCGCCAAGTTTGGCGCCTCAATCACTGCTAAGTCGCCACTCAATTGAGTCTCTGATTGCAATCAGAGACTATGGCCCGGTGTTGTGGGCGATTGAGTGGCAAATGGGCAGGGAAACTTTGGACACCATGGCTGGGCCAGTACGGTGGTGGATCGTAGTGGTCGTTCACACGTGGTGAGCCTTTGCCGCAAGGCATACAGAAACATGACAGGAAATGCACGGGCAAATGCTGGCCGGCGCTTGGGCACAACAAAACCCTTGAAATGAGTGGGGGTGGGGTGGGGGAGGGGGACTGGCGAGTGCGTGGTAAAGGCGGGCCAACCGAAAACCAGAAACATCCTTTTACGCATTCCTTTCAAGTCAGCATGAAGCCGATGTCCGCGTCAAAAACTTCACTCCTCGCACAACAAAACGGTTGAATTGGGGTGGGAAGGCAGGGGTGGATTGGAGGGTGGGTGGTGGCAGAGGGGGGAAGCATCTTTCCATCAGAATGGCGGGTGAGTTTGCTATAGCGCAACAGGGCTTCGGCACGGGGCCGGCAAGAGGGGAGGGCAGCAAGGCGCGTGAACGAAGTCAGCAGCCGCCAGGAGGGATTGGTCGACAGCAGGCACAACACTGGCCATAACGCGGCACCCCGATCGCCGCTGACAGGTCACATATTGGATTGGGACGGGCCTGCCAACGCACCGCACTGCCTTGTTCCCCTGGCCGGCCAGATCACCACCACGCTGTAGCATTTAGTGGGTGATCTTCTAGTGGCCCGCAAAGCCGGCGAGCTTGCCTTCCACCACAACCTGAAGTGGGCGCGCTTCCAGTGGTCTTCGAGGGAGTAGTGGCCCCAGCTTAAGGCCTGCTGTGTTTTGCTTTTGTGCTTTTCATGCCCAGCGGCAAGTATCGCGTGCCATTGTGGGATGCCGGCACCCATGCCTACCACTGCTCTTGCACCTTGCATTGCCACACGTGCCCTTTCGTGCCCACCTGCTTCAGTGCTAGGAGTGGCAGAGTCTGCCAGGCAGACGCGGGTGGCAGGGATGGCCAGATCCGCGGTGGGCAAAATGGCACCTCCCAGTACTTAGGCAGGAGATCTGCATGCTGCGCTGTGCCACACTCTGCCATTCTGCCATGTCGCGCCACTCCGCCCTGTGCCGTGGTTGCGAAAGGCCCTTTGTTGCTTGAGTTTCAGCCGCCACCTCAAAGCTTTCATTGCGTTCAAGCGTGGTTTGTCATTGGTTTTTGGCTTTCACCTCGACTTGGCTGCGTTCACGACCTCAGGTCGCCTGGCTCCCGTCCCAATGCCCGATTCGCTGTGCTTGCTGGCAAACCTCACGGGGCGCCAAGGGCAAGAGGCGCCAATCGCCCATGTCGGATTTTTACCCTTCGTCCGAGGGGTGCGCAGCCGGCGTCGCGAGGCTTGCGATTGCGCAAAATGGCCGTGTTTGAATGCCAGCATGGCAGTGGGCCTGTCGATGCGTTGCAGGTTGCCGCTGTGCTTTGGGCTGTACTGTGGGCAGGCGTGGCTTGACTGACGGCGGACTATTTTAAATATCACCAGGTTAATAATTGGATTAGTAGCAGGTTGTTGTGTGTCTCTTGGCTCCCTTCGCCTGGGGATCTGGGTCGGGTACGTACTCTAGCATAAACACACGTGGTCATGACTCATCAGCCGTATTTGGCAGTCACACGCAATGGGCATTCAACAGGGTGTTTTCAGATTGCATAGGAGCGGAGCTTGATGGAGCTAGCTTAGTAGAGGTGGCCACTCAAAGATGCCATCCGGTCCGTTAAGTCCGGTTCGTTAATTTTTATGAGCTGTCCGTTAAATTCCATTAAAGAAAAAAGGGAGAAAAATTCAGAAAAAAGGAAAAAAATCCCCAAAAATTCGAAAAAAACCCCAAAAAATCACAACAACTGCGGCTAGTTGAAAATCTAGTATGCATAGGTTGAAATAAAATACAAGCATACTCTCTAATAGCGAATTCCATAAACTATAAGTATGAATAAAACCCAAAAATCCCAAAAAAATCCAAAAATCCGTTAATTTTTGGTTAATTTTTGTCTTTTTTCGTTATTTTCCGTTATTTAACGGAAAATTAACGGAAATTAACCTCTGTCTGCTATTAACGGATCTGGGTGGCCACCTCTATAGCTTAGTGGCTCAGTACCAGTAACCCGAACAGTTGGAAAGGCATGGAGGCCGACAATGCTTCCCTTCTATTTTGTGTTTTGCACTGTGTTTCTAACCTTTAGCCTTTGCGGCAATCGATGCAGCTGTTCTGCGAATGTTTGAAGCGCTCCCGCGCAGCAACAGCCACGTGTCATTTGTCGGTGCGTCGGCACTACCTGTTGCACACGGGCGCTCCCTTGCGTCGCGTCCTGGGCACACCATTACGGCGCTGCTGATGTGCAGCATGCAAAAACCCAGATCGTCCCAGCGACTCGAAGAAAATGCAGATGCGGGCAATTAGGCCTTATCCTTGCCCAGTCAGGTGATTGACAGTTCCCTCCAAAACGCCGCCTGCCCTTACAGGGGTGGCCAGAGCACGCGTCCTTCACTGCGCACAGCATCCCACAGAGCCTGAGTGCACTGCCTACGCCCCAGACGCAACGCCGAGCCCCGCCAACCTTAACCCGCGGCTCTCCGGGCCTCGCGCCCGCCTCTGTTATGACCGCCCCTCCGCTGTAGCATCACCGCCCGACAGGTCGCGGATAGCGCCGGGACGATGTCGGACGATGAGAAGGCGCAGATAGACGAGGCCCGCAAGAAGCCGCTGTGCGAACGGGTTGAGCACAAGCTCTGGAAGGTGCGCCTGGAGGCGTTCGAGCTCATCAAGAGCCTGTGCGCGAAGATCGTCTCGGAGGATGACCCCGTGCTCAGCGATGTCGGTGAGTGGGCCGGATCGACGTCCCCGCCCTCCGGTGTCGGTGTTGCTCGCCCGGCGCCCTCGCCGTCCGGCGGGGATCCGCGGCAGGCGCGCGCGCGGCATTTCGCAGGCCAAGGGCCGAGACGCTGGTGTGACTCGCAGGCCCCATGCTGGCGAAGGCCACGTCCGATTCGAACGCCGCGGCGCTGGACAAGGCCCTGGAGGCGACCAGCGACTTCCTGCAGAAGGGCGGCACGCAGCACGCCGCGAGGTGCGCGCCCGCCGTCCCTGGAGATTGAGATGATTCCCAGCTTGGATCTGATTGCGCTTACGTGCGTTGCCAAGCCGTTCCCCGCCCTCGTACATATGTTATCCGCAGGCTGCGACGGTTAGGCCGGTGCCCCCCGGCCGGCCTTGATCGTCGCCGCGGAATCTCTCCTCTGCCGTGGTCTCGAAGCCCCCTGCTCGGATGCCGCCCATGTCCGGCGCGGTGGGCGCCTGATCGTCGCATCGGGCCCCCGCAAGCTGCCGGCGTCGGGCAATGCGTGCTCCCGGCAGATGGGCACGGGCGCCGGTGCTGCTGTGGAAGGTGTGGCTGACGCTGTGCTGGTCGCGGTGCGCAGGGCCTGCGACAGGATCTGCGCGGGCATCGTCGGCAAGTGCCTGAGCGGCCGCCCGTGGACGGTGCAGAAGGCCACGGTGGTGTTCCTGGACCTCATCGAGATGGAGCTGGCGGACAAGGCTGTGGTAGGCAGTCGGGGGAGCTCTGTGGGGCGGGCGCCCGCTTTGGGATCATTGTTCTCAAGTCTGTGCCGCTTTGTATAATCGAGCCTGTGGAAGTGTGCTTGGATGGGCAGCAGCAAGAGTTGTAGTGTGACTTGCTGTCTGGCGGCCAGGTCGAAGTGTTATCTAACAATAAGAAACTCCAGGCACTATTCTTTGGTGCTGCGGTCACTTTGGAGAGCCTGGGGATTGTTGAGGGACTGTCACTGCCCTTGCAGGAGAGTGTCGTCAATTGTTTCTCGCACAAGACCCCCAAAGTAGTGGTGGCTGCTCTGGACATGGTACACCAGGCTGTAAGGTAAGTATTGGGCCAGAAACATTGAAGTTTGTGCTGCAAGCAACAGGATTGCTACTTCTGCTGTTCCTGCATGCGCTGTTCCAATGCAAAGGCAACTTAGTTTGTTGACAACTTGGGCTGAAACATTTGTCTGTGAACGTCTCAGCACTTTTGGCACTAAGGTTGTCCCTCCACAACCTATCCTGAAGGCACTTCCACCTCTGTTTGAGTCGAGGGATGCCAAAGCAAGGGAGAAAGTGAAAGCCCTTGTGGTGAGTGTGTTCCCACTGCATTCACGTTGTGTTGATGGTGAATATTCACTGTGAGAGAAGAAGCGAATATCAAAAGAAGAAGCAGTGCAATTTGCAAAGGAGTCTACATTTCTCAAAACTTTGACACGGAATGTTGACCAGAGCCAGGCAACTTGGGAAATCTCTCAAAAAGAACCTCTTTCTAACATGTGAAGATTGTTACAGTTTGACTGAGGGTCGTATAGGACTGAGAACTGTTGTTCAACCCCACACAGGGGATTTCAGATGTAACTTGTGTCTTTAATGACCTGCACCTGGCGATTGTACTTTGAGCAAGGCAATGGCCGGCCAGGGGCCCACCCCAAAGTAAGATCCAAACAAGCGACAAGGTCAGCACACTTACCAAACAGCATCTAGGGTGTGCATTGTTGGAAGGTGAACAGAACTATGATCAGGAAAAACCACTGCAATAGCTGTTGGCAATATGCTTTGTCATGTGCATTGTAGCACTGTACCAGGGGGATGAGGTGTTGAATGTTGTTGTAGTTTTTGCTTCCAAAATTTTACATCATGAATTACATAATGCTACAGTGATGAAAGCCTTGTACATTGTTGCAATTGCTGCAATCGAAGGGCACAGGATGTGTCAATACTGGATTGGGCTTTGACGGCAACATGTTGGTAATGGTCCACAACCTGAGTCACATCCGCTGTGTGGGGCCACTGTTGTGCACAGACTTTGGGGCATGTTATACTTCCTTGAAACTAGCATATTTGCAGCCAGTGTGAGACAGGCCTCAATATCCACTGTGCCAGCCAAGCAGATCTGAAAAATGTGATCGTTCTGTGCAGAAAATGTTCCAAGGAATGATTGCCCAGCTTTGTGTGTGGGGATAATGCACTGCTGGCCCCTGAAGGTATTGACAAAGAGTCACCTGGTACAAAGGTGCAACCTGTCCAACACCTTGATCTGTCAACAAAATGCAAAACGTCCAAGCCACATACGGGCAGTGCATTCTACCAACGCTGTGGCGTGCATGCAAGACAGGCCAGCAGCTGAAATTTTAGACAAAACGATCTGCCACACACTCTGGCAGCACCAAACATTGTTACCAGACAACTTAGAGAGTATACAACAAAAAGTCTTATCTGAGCAATCGATGATCATGGGTCATTTTGGATTGAAGCACATATTGGGAGAAGCTACCATTGGTAGCTGAACAGTGAACTTATTGGGTCCATCCAAAATGCTGGCGGGAGTGGCTAATTCATTAATATAGCAAATGTTTCTTGCATGGAGAGCCACGCTTCTGTGCGATTATGAACTCCTGCTGAGGACTGATTTCTCTAGTGTGTATTCTGCTTGATATAGGCTGAGCTTTCCAGGTGGGTGGGCGCATCGACAGTAAAAACCATCTTGTTCGAAAAGATGCGTGATGCAATGAAGGAAGACGTTGAAAAGCTCATCGAGGCAGCACCTAAAGAGAGGCCCGCCCCACAGCGCATCACCCGCCGTGAACAGGCCAGGTTGGCTGAACTGGCAGAGGAAGGGAAATCTGCACAAGCCCCTGCACAGGAGGCAACTCCAATGGTTGAGGATGAACCCGTAAGTGGTGTGACAGAATGTGCCTTCACTTTGGTATTCCTGACAGCAGTGCTGTGAAGATGGAGGCAGCGCTAAGGACAACCTCAGATTAATCTGGATTGGTTGGATTCATCACATCTGTGAAAGAGCAAAACCCTTGCACCCAACAACTGGCATCAAGTGCTGTTCACATCCATACCTGTTCGTCCCCAGAGTGCTTTTGTTCCTGCTCAGTCAGCCCTGAACAGTGCCAGTGAGGAGTGTTGTGGATGTCGCCTGTTGTTGCTGTGCTGGTGGGTGATTGATCAGCCCATGGTGGTCAAGAGGAGTTGGTGTGCTGCAATAGTGATTTGCCAGTGCATCTGCACATGTTTGCATGAGTTGACATAATACGGCAACAAAGCCTTTCAAACACACTGTATCATGCTTGGCCAAATGCACTGGAGCTGCACAAGGAGCACGAACAAGAGCAACTGCAGAGTGTCAGAGAAGCGCTCTGGAGGAGAGATCATGCCCAAGTCCCATTGTGTTTGTAAGGTGGGCAGGACTCTGCCTGCAGAGTTGATTCTGTTCTTGGCTGAAGCTGCATATGGTGCTTGCAGGAGTGCGATGTCTTTGACTTGTCTGAGCCAAGGGAAATCCTCCATGAGCTGAAGAAGCCTTGGTGGGAATCCCTTGCCAACCCCAAATGGACCATTCGTAAGGGTGCTCTGACTGAGCTTAAAACTCTAGCCAGCAGCCCACGACTGGTTCCTGGTGACTATGGAGATGTGTGCAGAGAGCTCAAAAAGGTGAGATAATTGCAGGCTGCCAGTGTGCGTTGTGACTTGCGTACTGGCTGTGCTCTGTTGTATTGTCCAGGGTCTTGGCTGCATTTGTTTCATTCTTTGCAATTTTGACTTGAGTAACCTGCACCGTGTGGTTCTTGAAAGAACAAAGAAGCTCATCACAATGCATGCCTTGCCACCCCCATCCCTGAGTCAAAGTCGGCGCTCAAGCACGTGTTTTGCTTCAAGACAATGTTGAGGTCTGCGAAAAGTCTCCAACAACATGGGCTGTGATGTCAAACAGATCATTGCCAAGGACAGCATGGTCGCTGTTGTTGCGGAGGCCATACACTGCGTGGCTGCACTATCAAAGGGGCTTCGAGGAGAGTTCCTGAGCTATTCTCGGATATTTTGCCCTCTTATCCTTGAGAAATTCAAGGAAAAGAATCTTGCTGTGTGTGCTGCTTGTCATGAGGCCCTCGCCGCTTTCCACAAGTTCAGTTTCCAGTTGGTGGATATCCAAGACGATATAATCGGTAAGTGTGCTCAATTGCTGTTGCAGAAGAGAAGATGCTTACAACAGGTCACCCTCGCTCAGCAAGACTGTTTCTAAATCTTTCTCACGCTGAAAAGAATGATGTGCAAGTTCTGCAGTGCAGAAAAAGAAGCACGCAGCAACCAACACCAGCATGGACACGCTCGTGATATTCACAACTGCAACAACTACGGGCAACTAGCCATTTTGTGGTCAACAACAGTTTCTTTATTTTTCCAGCCTCGCCGAACATTGTCTGAACTGGGTTTGCTTCTGCACAATTTTGCTGGGCACTTGTCCAAATTGAGGTGCTTTGGGCCAAATTTTGCTGGACACGGCTGCCATTATGGACAGTGACAGCCTTTTGACTGACAGCATGACTGCCACATTCGCAACGAGTGCGAATTTCGTGGCCTTGACAAGGGTGATAATCTCCGCGATTTATGGGCAGCTGCACCAGCCTGGGTGGCGTTGCATGAGCGGCACACAAAGCAAGTGGCTGGCTCTCACCTGCTGCAAAGGCAAAGGGTCTAGGAATTTTTCACAAGATCTGGAGTTCAATAATTGTCCATGCCCTCCCATCGCACTTGGTCCAGAAGTACGGAAGGGTGTGGGGCATCAAATCAAAGTGTATAGGTGTGATAGCCTGTAACTAGTTGAGGTGCAGGTGCACCGCAAAGTGCACGGCATGGGAGCGCAGCAAGGCGGCAAGCTGGGTGACAAGCTGCCAAGTGTACTGCAACGAACTAGCATACTGGCATGATTGATTAAGTTTATAGATTTGTGGCGATTTGGCCCCTGCTAAGCAACTGTACCACGCAGAATTGTGTGGAACTGAAGCCTCCAGGCGAAGTCGTCCAGTGGCACGTGTCTGACCTGGGGCCAGTTTGCAGTTTTCTTGCCAGATATTGTCTGAATTAGAGGGCACGTTTCAGCATTTTCTGCTGGACTAATTATCTGGCTTAGAGTGGCTGCTGGCGTTTCCAGCCGGTCGTTTGTAACCTAATTCAGACAGAAAGTGTCAATTCGGACACAACAGAGACACTGGTCGACAAGCTTTCTGTTTTGTTTGGAGTTGGTGGTGCCTAGGCTGACAACAGTGTTCAACACCGCATACAGCAACAAGATATACACAACAGCATACTTACAGCAACATATGTTTTAGTAGTTGTGGTATTGAATGGAAGTTCAACTGTGAGTAGCACATGGTGGTCCAACGATGTTGACCCATGTAACAACTTGGTGTAGCTGCAGCTGCTCGTTCAGGATGAAAGACTGCGTCACACTCAACCGATGGCGGCATTTGTTTGCCAACCCACTACTTACAAGAGCGAAGAGCTAAGCACAACCAACCATACTGTGTGCCACATCCTGATTGTGAAGTTCGTTGTTGCTTTGGCGGTTGGGCAGTACGATTGTTAACGGTGTTGAAGATGTACTTGTCAACTTCACATTATGTGACTTCACATCTGCAACTTGCTAACAGTTGTTCCGTTGTCTGTCAGCTGCACTGGGGCACAACAACCCAAAAGTGAAGCAAGAAACACTCGACTGGCTGAAGGGCTGTATTGATACATCGACCAAGCAGGAGATGTCGAAAGTGCTTGGCACCATCATCCCAGCGGTTACGAAAGCAGCAAACGACCCAACACCTGCCATTAGGGAGAAGGCTTTTGCAGCTCTGTGCTCGTTGTCAACGAAGGTTTGTACAAAACTCCCTGATCCCTTGCTGGGTCCAGCTTTTCAATCCTGTTTCTTGGCTGGCTCACTCAGGCATAGTGAAACAAGTGCTGCCATCTGTGTTTGTTTGAGTTTTTGGCTGCAAAGTGCCGAAGTTAGATAGACGATGCCACCACAGCTACACATACTGGCCAGATATAGAGTTAAAGTGGCATCTAAAAAAACTTTGTTACTAAGGAGACCTGCATCAACTTCAGATGATGTTATTGGGCGGGTTGTGCATTTGTCATATGTGTGTGTGTGTGTGTGTGCAGTTTTGCTGCTGTTGGTTCGATGACAGGACTGCCAGCATGAAATAATGTTGCTGTTGACTTGTGTTGGAGCATCACGTGGTTGAGTGCCTTCTGCAGGTAAGCAGTGCTACTGCCATCGACAAAATCCTTCAGCAAGTCGATGAATCAAGGAGAGGAAAGCTGGAGGGGATGATCAATGCTGCTCGTGGTACAGCAGGGGAGCCCTCTAGCTCCACAGCAGCAGCCACAAAGCCTGCGGCGAAAAAAGCCAGCCCTCCTCCTTCGCCAATGAGAAGTCCTTCACCGGTGAGCGTGCTGGAAGTGAACAGCGCAGCTTGGTCCTGACGAGGTATTTGTTGGGCTTTTTTGGCTATGCAGTTACTTTACAGCATCGAATCAACTGTTGGAATGTTTGAAAGCTTGCAGCACACCCCTTTTGCCGTAAGGTGCTCCGTCTCCAGATTGTCACAGGTTTTGGGTGAATTGTTGATCTCTCTTTATGAATATCTGCCATTGGGTTTGTTACCCAAAATACCAGGTTTGTTGTTGATCCAGTGGAGCTGAAACGAAGATTGGAACTGCAGTTGGCGATCCTTTATCATATTCTCACTTCCAATGTCTATCTTGTTCGCCTCCCTCTGCAGATTCCATGATCAAGAGTTCTTTGTCCAGCCCCTGTTGCAAAGTCACTAGGGTTTGCTTCCAGATTCTGTCAGAATCAGGGTCACATGGAGCCGTTGCTCTCTTGAGCAACAAGCTGTTGATGCGCTTACCAACAGCTTGCTGTGCATGAAGCCCTTAGGTGCTTGAAATGGGTTGAAAATCCTCTGTCGATGACATTTTCTACAAAGTCATCGGTAGAATGTTGCCCAATAATGTACACCTAGGGGATGCAATGTCAGTGCTTTGACTTGCTGGCAGCCCAGCTGCTGTGGCTGATGTTGTCTGGGAATGGTTGTTTCAGATGGATGTGGACTCCCCGAAAGCACCTGCAAGACCGCCCCGGGCAGCTGCGCGGCCTTCCAGCTCTGCAGGGCCAAAGCAGTCAGGATCTGGGGCTGGGGGCAAGCCACCCATGTCTGGAGGATCGTTGGCAGGTCTGTGCTATTCAGAGCTGGGCCATGCTGTTGACTGGTACATGTTGTATTGTTCAGAATCCCACTCTGTGTTTCACAACAGCAGGGACGTTTGAAGTCAGGACCCCTTTTATTTCTGCTGTACCTTCTGCATGTTACAACTTGCATGGATATTTTGCGCAAAGATTCTTGTTCAGTGGGGTCTACGTTGTCTGCGACATAGTGTCCTTTCTGTTCAACGATCATCTTCTGGAATATGCACCGCTGCAACATCAGTGCTGTGCTTGTGAGCTGCAGATATTGCTCTTGTTGTGTTTCAGCCAGTGGGGCCCCAAACACAGTGTATGCGGGACCTTGTACTGGGTGGGGAAAGACTGTTCCTTTTTTCGTTGAAAGGGAGGGGGGAGTCTTTGTTGTGAGGTTGTTGTGATCCGCTGGAATCTGTCTCAACGCGGGCATGTGATCGCTATGTTTTGGCACATCCTCCAAAACGACACGCGGTGGGCAACGTTTGCATTCCTCCCTTTGGAAGGGGAGTCCAGTGCATAGTCTATTTCTGTTGATGAGAGTCTTTGCTTGCACATTTCTGGCGCTGTAGATGATATGGGCTCGTTCCCAGCTCCACCAACAAAGGCGTCAGCTGTTGAGCAGCTTTCCGAGCTGCTGGGCGAGGGGTTGGTGAACCAGTTGACAGGCGCCCTGTGGAAGGAGCGCTTGGATTCTGTCACAGAAGTAGTGTCAAAATTGGGTGATATTGACGTCGATGTGCATGGCAGCACACTGGTGCAAGGCATAGCACATGCACCAGGGTGGGGAGAGAAGAACTTTCAGGTATGATGTGGCAGCTGGACAAACAAAAGTGAAGATCACACTCTCCAGGGCACCATATGATGAAGTGCATGTTGAACAGAGAACCGCGACCTGTACGATGTGGTGAGATGTGTACTATTGGTTTTGCATTGACTACATGGATAGGTAAACCACAAAGCGATCATGTAATTTTCATTCTCTCTCCTGCAGATTTCACATAGCAGATGCAGGGCTTGAGGTTCTGTGGTTGTGTCTGGCTGATTACTGTAACCTCTGTCCGCCAATGTGTGGAAGCAGCGGTGAGGGTCTCGAGCTGTGCATGCCCCTCATGCTGGATGCCTGCCCAATCCCCACAAGAGTGGGCAGCATTAGCCACTGCACATATCAGAGAACCTTTTCACCTTCCATTTCAGGTGGATGTTAAGCTAGCGGCGAAGCCATGTGTGCCAGCCAACAGATGGTTGAAGCTCCCGTGGATGGAAGCTTTGCCAGCAAGTTTAGCACACTGAGATGGCTTGCCAGTGCACCCAGCAGATGCATGAATCTGCGGACTGAATCTGTTTGCTCACACATCTTGTTATGGCTGTGGCAGGTCATGTCGAAGCAATTTGAACTTTTGAAGCATGTGGCAACCAATGCGAAGTCTGTTGCCAAATCAGATGCCTTTGTTGCAATCGATGGTCTGGCTGAGAAAGTTGCAGACATAAAATTGAAGGCAATTGCTTTTGAATGCCTGTCCGTTTTCTGTGAACGTGTTGGGCCACCTTTCGTGTTCAATCACATACATTCCAAGGCAGAGAAGCACAAGAATCCAAAGGTGCGTGTTGATTGCTTCGATTAGTATTTGGTCACTCTCACATTTAGGTTGTAGGTGTTGAGCTAGATCCCCACTGAGCATCTGGAAGGTCACATGAATTCGTCCCTGCTTCCAGGTGTAATCCAGGGATCATTAATGCCGTTTGGTTGCATTTTCCTTCCTTGTACTAAGTTCTGCTGTTCTGTGTTGGCATCATTCCAAGGGTGCACTTGTGCAGGATTTGCTTCGTGTGCCACAACGTATACTTCGAGTACATGACTGTGTTTCCAAACAAAGGGCACTCGTTGACATTTTGGAAAGGGTACATGACAGTTGCTGTCGTGTCCCACGACATTGACCTTCAAGTTCTTATGGATGTGAGGATATCTCCAAATTTGATGGTGCTCCATATTGGATTTGTCCAAATAATTGGCAGTGATCCCTTGTTCAGGTGGCTACCTCAGCATTACAGCATTACATTATGTACAGTATTCTTCAATGTCGAATCGCTTTGTGCATCCTCTAGTATCATGCTGTGCATTCAAGAATGCGGCAGCTGTACTTACCTCACGAGGTGCGTCCTTTGTAGTGCCTGCCTGTGTGTCGTCTGTGCAGATCTTGGCAGAGACACTGAATTGGATGGGCCAGGCAATCGGAGAGTTTGGGTTGCAGCCGATGAATGTCAAGAGCCTGCTCGAGTGGGTTCAGACAGACGTGAACTCTACAAATGCCCAGGTCCGGAATTCTGCAGTTCAACTGCTGGGCGTCTTGCATCGCTTCGTTGGACCAACACTGGCCAACATGATCCGACCAAATGTCAAGCCAGCTTTGATGTCCACCATCGAATCGGAGTTTGAAAAGAACCCACAGGACGCAAGCTTTGTCCCCACACGAAAGAGTGCTGTAAAGCCTGCCAGCAAGACAGGGAGTGCGAGTGGAGGGAAGTCACGCTCAAGGGGGGCTGCTTCGCCACAGGAAGCCAGCCCGGCCCCGTCGGTCAGCGGCGATGACTTTCTTCCAAGGTGTGCCATGTCTGCAGAGGAGGATCTCTGGGCAGGTTGTGACTTTCTTTCTTTGATTGGAGAATAATTTCTTGAAACTTGAAAACATTTGCTGAGCAGGCCTTGAGTGTTTGGCAATTGTATGCGCATGCGCCCAGAAGCATATGGTTTTCTTGCCAATATATTGAAGGACAGCTTGGACCGCAAGGTTCAGGCCTTGTTGGCTCATAAGCTGCTACTGAATTGTTGAACAGAGGGCAGTTCTTGCCTTAGCACTGAGGCAGGCCTGATGAGGAGGCGATATGGGGGAGCTGCCTGTGCTGATGGCTGTGTGAGGAACCCAACGGTAGGCTGCTTACGTGTTCTAGATGCTCCTGAGTTCAGATACCAGGGGGAGATGGGGAGGGCGCAGACCATGCCAGCTGTCAATGTGTAGGAATTTTGAACGAATGGTGCCGAGTGGATTGTGTTTATCCGGGTATCTGATATTTCCATGCGCTTGTGCAGGCAAGATATCAGCGCCCAGATTACTCCTGCTTTGATAAACAAACTGGGCAGTGCAAATTGGAAGGAGAGGAAGGAGGGGCTTGATGATGTGGAGCAGATTCTGGCTGGAGCTGGGAATCGGATCGACCCGTGTGTTGGCGACCTCTTTGTATCTTTGAAGGCTCGCTTTGCAGACTCAAACAGGAATCTAACTGCCCAGACCCTGAGGTTGATTGCCAAGATTGCAACTGCCATGGGCAAAGCGGTGGATAGGCAAGCCAGGTTCCTTCTTCAACCTGCCCTTGCCTGCATGTCAGACAGCAAAACACAGGTAGGAGAAAACAACATGCAAAGGAGTGTGAAATAGTGTCATCCCTTGAAAGAATGTCAACCTATTAAGTTGTTGGTGGAAGATGAAGTTACTCGAATTGCCCACCATTGGTAGTCTATCGTTTGCTGTGCTATGTTCTGGTCTCTTTCAACGCCCACATGGTGTGGTTCTTTGTAGGTTCGGGCTGCTGTGGTGGAAATGATGGGGGCATGGGCCAAGGTCACTGGGTGTAGCGCCATTTTGCCAGACATTGTGCAGACAATTGGGTCCCCAAAGTGCAGCGTGGATGGCCGAAAGGAGTGCATTGTGTGGATAACGGGTCAAGCGAAAGAGGGCAAGCTCGGTGAGGACCAGGCTGTGAGCATGTTTGCCTGGCTGCAAGACGATCCACTTGTGTACTTCTTATTTTCTATTTGTTTCAATTCTGTTGTGCTCTTTGGAGCCATGAGGCTCTTTCAGGTGGTTGGGGGCATGCATTTGCCGTTTCTTGATGTTCAAGGTGGGCATGTCCCGAGCTCTTTATGAAGGCATTTGGGTCCCTACTGGAGCCCTATAATTTGACATTGTTGGCATTGTGCAGGAATTAGCCGTAGCCTAGAATTAATGCACAATTTGGCAAGTTTAGATGATCAGGTCAAATGATGATGCTGAACATTGGTGGGGTGACAGTGCCAGATTTTTGGAGTCTCCAGCAACTCACAATATGGTCCTGGGTGGCTTCGCCTCTGGTCCTCAACAAACATTTCTAAACTAGGTGGTGCCTTATGAACCTTGTGGCCGCCATGCTTAGCACAGATGAAAACTCACAAGCGCAATCCATGGCTTGCAGCTGTCGGGCCACTATTGAAGTTTTCCCTGTGGGGCACGCACATCTACCCAGTGAGTGCACATGTGCTTCACCATCAGTATACGGGAGTGCTGGCACTGTGCATATGCCAGCTACTTGTCCAGCCGTGGGCACTACACTCTGACCTTCTTTGCACCTTACTTTACTGCACCCCATGAAGCTGTACTGCTGTCATCACATGGACATGAAAAGGGTGCTGCTTGTTATTGGATTGTCACAGGATCCAGCACCTTGGAATCTGCTGTGAAAGGGGCAGCTATTGGATGTGCCGACAAGAATGGAAGCGTACGTGCAGCAGGGACGGGCCTGGTTGCACAGCTCGTGGAGATCTTCGGAAACCAGACTATGTCGGCAACCCAGTACATGGAAGGCGCATTGAAAACAGCGGTTGTGGATGCCATCCAAAAAGCTGGTGGTGGACGAGCATCACCTCCAGATGTGCCAGCTGCAAAGGCTCCCACATCATCAAAGCTGCCAGGACGTAAGTTGAAGAATATCAGAGATCATTTACCTGGCCATTTGAGTTGGAATGGATATGTTGATAGTTCTAGTCACATGCTTCGAAGTACAACAATTGTTCTATGCAGTTCTCCTGCAGTTCCTACAGTCCTGGCTGTGCAGTGCATTGTCAAACTGTTCATGTTGGCTTGCTGGCCTGCCAGTCGATGTCAGTGCCGTCCTGTCATTCACAACAGTGTTATCTTTTGATACAAAAGTGCCCTTTTGCGGGACGGTTCATGTGCTCTCGCACTGGGTGTGCATTTGATTTGGCTGACACCCACACCCCTTGTTGCCAGCTGCTCGCCCTTCCTCGGCCAGTGGCCGTCCTGGTAGTGCAGGTGGGGCTGCTGGTTCGCGTACGAGGCCTGGGAAGCCAGTGGCATCGGCCCGTGCACCAAAGGAGGACCCCATGATGGACGATGCACCACTGATCGTCAAGAGCGAGAAGAAGGCTGACCGGGCAAGGAAGGTGAGGGGTCAGAACTGAGATGCCCCACCTAGCATTGCTGCAGCTCGCAAGGCAATTTTGGGCCTGCTGCACAATGTGGTATCACACTCATTGGAGACATGCACATCAAAGTGTCCTCATGTTTGCAAGGAATCGCCCACAGCAGTAATGTCCTGTTGAATGGCTTGCCTCAAATGGGAGAGGCCATGATGCTATCTGCTTGATCTCAAGCCCAGCAGCAAGGTTTAGTGGCATACAAGGTCTGCAACTGTGGCAAGATGCCCGTTCTGTTGCATTCCTCAACAGCACTTTTGACCAAACACACTTTCCAAGGCACTTACCAGCCCCAAGCGGAGAAAGTGCCAAGCCCTGGTTTTCTGCTGCTGAGTAGCTCTTATTCATATGACACCTGCACTCTGTAGAATCGTTTCAAGAGGCCCAAATGGGAGGGTGTGGCCCATGATGAAGAGGCGATGCTGAAGGCAGAGTTGGAGCCACACCTGTCTAATCTGATCAAGCCTGCGATGTTCGCAAAGGACTTCAAAAAGCACTGCATCGCTGCTGACCTTATTTGTGGAGCAGTGGACTCTCTGTATGACGAAATTATTTCGTGCCTGGACTTGATATTGAGGTGCGCTGAACAGCGTTTTTGCTGTTGCCTTTGACTAAGATTGAATATGACTATGTGTGCAACCTCCACTTCGCAGCCCTTGAGTGTTGTCCTCTCGAAATCGGTCAACAGAGCCCAAATGAGTGGTATGGCAAGCACTTAGGGTGTGAGGCTTCAGTCAATATGAGCATTGTGGAATACTAATGCCTCCACTGCCACTGATGGCGCATGCTTTGTGCTCACCATGGAGGAACTCAGTTCCCCTCTGGTTCCCGATAGGGGTTTCCAGCTAGCATTATTGTTTGAAATCTGACAATCGATCTCATTTCCTATTGTCTCTTCAGAGCACGGGCAGCAGTTCCACAGCTGTTGCACTGGGTCAGTGAAGACTCCAGGACTATGCCTTACCCAGTCTTAGTTTCTGGCGCTGTGCTTGCAGGTGGGCGGTGATTCGGATCTGTGAGGCAAAAACAGAATCACTACTCCACACTCTTGCCATGCTCAAGGCGATTTTCAAGGCCATGATTGAGAATGGTTACCGTCTGTCTGACTATGAGGCTGTGGTGCTTATGCCATGCTTGGTGGAGAAGAGTGGGCACAACCAGGACAGGATTCGGAAGGACCATCGGGAACTCATGGGACTGGCAATGCAGGTGTACTCAAAGGCCAGGGTGTACGTTTTTGTGGCAGATGGCCTGGAGTCAAAGAACAACCGCACAAAGATCGAATGTGCAGAGGAGATTGGATGCATCATTGACAGAGAAGGAATCAGAATTGCACTGGGTAGCAAGCAAGCAAAGTAAGAATGACAAGACTCTTACTGTTGTGCACACACCTATGGGACGTCGTCCTTATTTTGTTGGGCCTGTTGTGGGCAAGTGTGGTTATTGAATGCCATGCACAGTTTTGGGAATTCCTTGTTTCACGATGTTGTCCTGTGGGATATGCTACCTTCAGTGGTACAGGGCAGCGTGGCAGAATCTGAGCTTAGTTTGTGTTCCTAGCATTCCAATTGGAACAACGCAAAGTCATTTGTCTCGCATTTACTTTGTGAGTGTATCAAACAGAGGAACATAGCGTTTGTGCATGGTTGGCCGACAAACCTTTTGTCAGCTTCCAACTGACGCAAACATCCAAGAATAACAGGACGTGCGTACATTAGCAGTGCATGTTGCAAGCAAGAGTAGTTGCTGTGTTCCTCACACGGGATGCTTGTTTTCCTCACAACTGAGCTGGCTTGAAGGGAGCTTCACTGTTCAGGGCAATGCAGGTCATCGCCAAATCTGTGTCTGAGCGCGACAAGTCTCTGAGAGCTGCATGCCTGTCTACTCTGGCTGTGATTTATGACTTCGAGGCTGACGACATCTGGTCCCATCTGGGCCACCTGACAGAACAGCAGCAGAGCCTCATTGTGGAGCGCCTCAAGTATCGCGAGAGGGAACTTGCCAAGTCAGGTCTGACGGGCGGGTACAGAAATGAGGATGCTGTGGATGAGCAAATGGAGGGCTCCCCAGAGCCCCCCCAAGAAGTAGCTGCTGCCCCACAACAGCAATTTGTCCCACCACCAGATCAGGGCTTCAATCGGCATCCATCGTCTTTTGGGAGGCAGTTTGGAGCTCCGGGGCAGACAGCTGTACACAACGGCGGCACACATCCCTCATTCCGACCTGGCCCAGGGGCCTTTCAGCGACCCTTGCCTGGCGCTTCGCCACAGTCCTTTGATGCAAAACCCCGCCGATTTGGCCCCCCTCAAGTTGCCACTGGGGTCCACCAAGATGTGGACATGGGGGGCCAGGCGTCGCCTGTGCGGCAGCCTGCTGCTGAGAGGTGAGCATGGAGGCCTTGGGAATGGATTGATTGGAACATGTTTGGCAATACTTGTGGGGCCAGATATGTTGGCACAGTGGAAAGAATGAACATGGGGGGGTCTTCCCAGAACCTTGTCTCAGCACTGTGAACCTCCGCATGAAACAAAACGTGACTGCGATGTTATGCCCCCATCAACAACTGCGCAAAATAATGAACAACAGGTGCCAATAACAGGGCTGTGCCTATAGAAAGCGGAACATGCACGCCTTTGATGGTGAGAGTGGTTGCGTGTTGAATGTCCATGGCTGTCTGTTGATTTTTGGAGAAGAGTGCATGTGCGACAAAGCAGAGTTGCTGGCATGTCTTGCAAATGGGTATCAGCGTCCTAAATTCTTTGTAACATAGGCCCACCAGAGAATACATCCCAGAGGATCGGACTGCGTATGGAGCAAGGTCCCAGTCGCCCATCTTGCCAGATCCACCAGGTCCTTGTGGTGCCAAAGGTGAGCGCTCCGATGAGGAGATCTCTTCCACATGGGTCAGAGCCATGGTCACTGCACACAGCAGCAACATGGACGAGGCAATCGACGCCCTGAAGGTCCTTTGCTATGAATTGATGGAGGCATCCACGCCTGGAAGGGCGAGCGATTACATTGTGAACCTCCTGAGGACCAGCGCTGATGAACTTGTCAAAGAACTTTGCTCCAAGCTGGATCAGGTGGGTGCTGTGATCGACATCTGCTTCCTGTGCCACAGTGTGGCTGTTGCAGATCCTGTATTCAGCGTGGGAATCAAGCTGCTGAGGCTGTTTTTCGGTGGGTAGTGTTTGTTGGATAATTGCCTAGGTAGCACAGGGAATCGTTTAGCGTAGTTTTGGGCATTGTTGCTAAAGGTCTGTGGACATGCGACTCGACTGATGTATCACTGGGTGTCTGGGTGAAAGGAACCCAAGCACACAGCATGGGGCTGTTGTGCGGCCAGTTGTCCCCCCTCTAGCAATCACTGTCGTGTGGAAACCCCACTCAGTGCACATTGATGTGGTTGCTGAAACCCAGCATAGCCTTCCCAGCACATTTGTACTAGTTTTCCGAGCATCAACCTTACTCATGCACTTGCTTTCATTCACCATTTCACCCATTCTGTGTTCCCTTCAGACGTTTGCTGAGGCCACCGCACAGCTCATAGTCAGCACTGACCCCCCTTCTGCCAGGGGCTGTAAGTACAGCCTTAACACGATGATGCAGACGTTTGGGGTCAAGTGGATGGCACTGGCTGTTGACAAGCAGACACTGCTTGATGTCATCTCGTCCCTCCTGCAGCTCCTATTGGATGACAGGCTCCCAAGAATTCAGGAGGGTGGCCAACTGATGCGGGCCATGAACGTCTTGATGCTGAAAGTGATGGAGAATGCAAACAAGACTCAACTGTTTGAAAGCTTGCTATTCTTGCTGAGGAGCATGCCTCCAAAAGTTGAGACAGCAACGCCGGATGTGCAGGGGCGGTTCATGGACTTGGCTGTAAAATGCCTCATAAAAACGACCAAGGCAGTTGGGGGTTTCATGGAGGTGAGTGGATGTTGCTGGCCACCACAGCTGTGCAGCTTGGATGCGTCAGATGCAGTGGTGCATGGACAGGTTTGTTTGGTTGTGTACCATATTGACCTGAGCAGAGTGTCGTTGAGTTGCTGTCTGCAATGTGGGGTGATGAGTCCAATATCTTGTTCCCTCAGCGTTCGCATTGACGTGTTCATTTCTATGGGAATCGTTCTTTACTCCTTGTGTTGTGGGTTTCAGGAACTTGACCTTGAGAGTCTCCTCTTGTCGATCCACGAGTTCTTTGTGGATCTTGGAGTTGAGGAAATCAGGAGAAGGGGCGCTGAAGATGACAAGCCGTTGAGAATGGTGAAAACCATCCTGCACGAGCTGTGCAAAATAAAGGTAGCTTGCAGAAGAATTTGCTGGACTGCTTGCTGAGGAGCATCTGGCACACTGTTGTGCATCAGAACTCTTCCCAACTTGGCGATGACTGTGTCTGTATGGGACCAACACTAGTGCCTCAATTGTCTTTCAAAATGTACTGGTATGACACTGTTGCACAGCCTGTGCAATGAGCATGGTGTCTGAAGATGTGCTATGGTGCACAGTGCCGTCGATCATCTGCTGTGCCACCATTAGTAAATGGGAAGTATAATTCATTGTTCTTCCGAGCATTGTAGATATAGTTTCCTGACAGCAGATGACAAGGCTAGCTTGGACCTGTGTTCTATGCCAATGTGATGGTACTCTGAGGATGTTTTGGTCGCTGAATTGCTGGCAGCAAGATAAATGCATACTGAGGTCTCATAATCGTCACCGACATGATGCCTCTATTTGCTGCAGGGTTCCGATATTCTGGATTACATTGGCTTGCTTCCGCGCGATGAGAACCCACCTCCTATAATTTGCGCCTACATCGATCTCAACTTGACCACTCTCCACAACACAGGCCTAATCACTGGGCCACTTCCAAGGCCCTGCAGTCAGGTGCTGTCCAGCTTAGACTCGTCATCTCAGTCACCATCACCACCGTCCATTGGATCACCGATGGGTTTTGGCAATCCACCAATATCGCCAGACAGGCCGTTTGGGCATGTTTCCATGAACAGCATGGGATCTCCAAGCAGTCAGGACGATGTGAAAGCTGACTTGGCCGCCATCTTCAAGAAGATCGGTGACAAGAACCACAGCAAGGCAGGAATGGAGGAGTTGTTTCAGTTCCAAATGGAGCACCCACTGGTAGGGCTCTTGGTATTCAGAAGCTCAAATGACAGTGCAGCATCGTGAATGCGTGGACGTAACCATGCACACATCGTTGTGAAGGATGGTGGCCCAGCCTTGCATCGCTTCTTGACTGCAAAGCTGAGTCAACATCAGATCCTGAGGTGTCCAATCACACCAGGCTTGTGCACTGCTCATGCAGTCCAACCTGAATCCAGCAGCAGGCATTGTGCCATTCCAGATGCAGTTTGGGATGGCTTGAACAGGTTTATGCGTGTGTGAGGTACAACAACAAGTATCACTACCTGCAGGCAAGGATATTCAGCAGTACCAAGTTCACATACTGTCCCCAGTTGGCAGGTGCATGTTGAATGGAGTTTTAGAGACAGGATGGACGGGAGCTGTCTCTGACAGACTGTGGCTGGCTTGTATTAGACTATTTGTGGGATTTCATTACGCTTTGCCCGCCAGCAGAAGAGCACAGAAATGTGGGTTTGTGAGCTGTGGAGGTTGTTGCTCAGGTGGACATTGGACCCTACCTTGCTGGGACAAGTGAAGCTTTCAAGGCCTACATCGAAAGAGGCATCAGCAAGATCAAATCTCGGCGTGGACAGGACAGCGGTGCAGATAGAGCAGCAGCAAATGGTGCGGCTGTTGCTGGTGGTAATTGGCCATAACTCTGGAATGAATTGGTTGTTCTCGTTCGAAGCAGCAAGGTGTTTGGTGCATTGCAGGGATCTGTTGCCCTGATGAATTTCGGCTGTCTGTACAGTACTCTGTCACATTTTTGTGACTTGGAAGATGCACCTCGATTGCTCAGGAGGCCACCAAGTACTCGATGCTTGTCTGTTTGTGAGTGTCACCCGCTGTGTGCCACAGGCACTCAGCAAGTTGCGATGGCGAATGGAGTCAGCGTGAATGGCTTCTAGTCCGCGCTGCGTCGCTGTGCAAGGTTTGTCACTCTGTGTGGATAGAGGGGGAATACACACGATGGGGCATTTGCAGCTATCGTTGCAAGACTGCCTTGTTGGTTTTTGGTGGCAAGGGTGTCTTGGCACCCCCCTTCCTCACAAGGCTGTACTGTGATGGAAAATACTTGTACTGTGATGGAAAGGCCTTGCCTGGTCACTGTATTGCAGGAGGGGGGTGGGTGGGGGGGTGTCTTTCTACGCAACAGGGACTTGCAGAAGCTAGGAACCGTGGCCGTAGATTTTCACAGGCGATTGTGAGGAAAGCTTGATGTACATGGGACCTGGAATGAACGATACTTGTTCCCGTATGACTCCACTAGGGCGCTGTCGTCCCCACTATTATGTAGCATGCACAGGGGACGGGCTGCAGATCTACATAGTTGTGATGGTGGCCTGCAGTACGGAGTGTGGGGCTGTCCTTCAAATTTCTGGGACCCCTTTGGACGGACGGCCGATGTCCTTGGGGTTCAGTGGGCTGGGGCCAGTGCCTCAGGGATCTTGGCAGCGCACTTCCTGAAGTGACAAGTAGGAGCGAGCAGGTTGCATGGTGCGGCAGCAAGGGAGTTGAAAATTCATTAGTATTGAGGGAGGAACAGGCGGGGGTGTCTTTGCCGAGCAATTGGCACTCTCACTCAGGGCGTCTGCGGTATTCCAACAGGAGGTCGTGGGCAGCTTGTGAGGGACACTGTGAGGGCGCTTGACGTGGGCCATCGCGCCCAGAGAATAAATGTGGTACATAACGGAACTCATTCGCGAATGAGATTACAGATAAACATTCCTGAGAAGACACCGATGGGGACGTTGATGCGCTTGGCCATCTGACGAACTTCGATATGGATTTGTAAAAAAATTCTTCTGCTGATGTAGAAATCATGCCTGAGGAGGTTGCCGCCACATGCTGAAAGGCCAACAGTGCACCACTGGGGACTGACGGGCTGGTAAAGGAACACATCATGCGATGGTGTCATGGGAGCGCCCCTTCCATGACATTAGGCCCCCGTGGAGTTTTCGCCATTAGAAACTTCCAGGATGTCTGCAGACAAATTCCTTATGGGGCTTGTCAAAGATGGGCAAGGTTTTTCTCTCAAAGCACGTGCCACCCACGCAAAAGGCGAAGGAGCTTATGTTCAAATCATCACATGTTTGTGTCCAGCTCTGGCCACATGATACCCTGTCTCAGAGCTTCTCACACCGTTTAAAGGAACGGAAGATGATCTTCCACAGCAATCCGGCCGACATTGTCAGCCTCCTTGCAGCCCATCACGGGTAGCCACGAAGCGGTTGGAAGTGTTCTCTACGCCTTGCTGCAAATCAAACCTTGGATTCCATTGCTTCTCGCACATTGGCCACAGACAACAATTTGTGCGCTCTCCACAACCGCTCAGGCGACGCGGCCTCGGCACAACGAGTGGATATGCCTTGGAACCATGCAATTCTATGAGCTGGGTGCTTTGATCTAAACCTTTGACATCTGATGTCCAAGAGTGATTCACCCTGCACTCCACCACTCAGTACTCACCACATCCGTGAGAGCCCCGCAAAACCAGACAACAGCCGACCATTCTCACCGTGCTCAAGGGAATCCACTATTCTGATTCGGGTGCGTTCCCAACGCATGCTAAGGGGGGAAAGGGGTCGTGACCCCATGACCTCTTTATGATGCGGAAGGCCAGCGGACGGCGGGGACTCTGATTCGCTTTGGATGTGCCAACAGAAGGTGTGCTGAGACAACCCCAGCACCATCGTCTGCTGCTGTCGAATTCTTCTGTGATAGGGATTGACACCAAGGAAGGGAGGAGACTGAACTTAGCTTCCATCAGGCGTTGAGCGTGCCCAGATCAAAGCAGTGCCTTCGCGACAAGGTGGCAACGAATTGTCCAACAGCCGTTTAATGTTACGTTGCTCCCTGACATGGGTGTTGCTTGTGCCAAGCGATGTGTCTTCAAACTCCCACGATGCACAAAAGGATGCTCTCTTTCTTTGTTGACATATTTCCGCCGTCCAAAACTGAGCCAAGTCAATTTAGTCGCTCCTAAGTCGCAACAGTGCACTGGATTCGTTGTTACAATAGAGAAAGATGCAACACAATGGACCAATTCTCATTGGGCACCTCCCTATAAAGGACAAAGACGGCGAGACTATGTTCCATACTATTGTTGAATTACCTGCACGGGTGGCTAATACACAAGTGTCCCATACCACTCATGTCTTCACCATCCTATACAGCCGGCCAGGGTTCCCATAGCTATTCGGTTTGCTTCTGAGTCGCCAGGATTGGCTGCATCCCCAAATGGAGCCGCCTTTCTCACGCCCCAGATCGATATGTCTCGACGAGATAGTCTTGTCGCTACCCTGGGGTGGCCCAATTGGGTAATCTGTGCACCTGCTGCCTTACTTCCATGGGCTTGGTCAGTGTCATTCTCATGACCTCCCAAAGGACTCCGGCATTTCCCTTGGTACATATCGGTGGTGGGCCCGCAATCCTCTCAGTACATGCCATCGTCCTAAAGTCGGTGTTCGGCACTCTCACTCACGGTATCCTTGACGGGATTGTGGTCCGCCCCTAGACTACAAGACTTTGGCAAGACCGGTTTCTCACGACCCACTCACGTTGTACGGTTGGTTTCGCTTACCAACGGTGCGCTCACCCCACGCTATGCGGGTAAACCATGAGGCTTTGATGCCAATGGGTGCCTCATCGATCCGCCAATGACGTCCTCCCCAACAGTCCTTTCCAAACCGTCAAAGGTTCTGGCCGTAATCGCACGAGTGCCTGGGGCCCCGGCTGCCAGATGGAGATGTCCTGGGAGTGCCGCTCGCGCGCCCTGCGGAGCTCTTTGGCCTTGCTCGCCTGGCGATGCCAGCTGGAGCCACACCTGGGAGGGAGGCTCCTGAGCCGCCTCCTCGATGGCCTGCCCAGGGCCTCCCTTGGCCCCGGATCGCTCGGGATCGCCAGCCATGCATCGGCCCGGGCCTGTGGGAGATCCCTCGCCGCTGCGGTTCTTCGAATTGAGAACAACGCCGTCGGTTCACTTCGACGGGCATGGTCGAGGTGAACGAGGGGTGCATGCGGAGTGCGCGTCGGTGCATTGCGGCAGTGGATGGGCCGCTTGATCCTTTGGTCCCTGATTGAGCCCTGCAGCCTCTCCGACCCGTGTGCGGCGACCATCTGACGTGCAGGCAGGCATTGAGTCTGGATGCTCTTGTCTGACGCGGCTGGTAGGGTCGTTGCCAGTTGAGAATGGTGTCAGCTTGGGGCGGTGCTTTTCTTGTCTGACTAAACCGTTTGATGGAAACTAATCCGTGTCATTGCCATCGATGGATACGTTGCCGACCCATCTGTCGGCCGTATTCAGAAGTACCTGCCCATCCTTACCCACGTGCAATCTCTACTGACCCCAACTCAAAGATAAGAGTGTAAACCTGAGTGCAATGGGACGATGGTGGTGTGCTGTTATGCCACTGCCTGCTGGGTGAGTTCCTTGGATTCCATTTGTCAGACACCAGCCATGACAAATGGAGCCCTTGCACCTTGCAGTGGATCACTGCCTGCTGGGTATACTGCACTTTGGGAATGACCGTCCCAAGCAGAAACATTCAAGACCTGACAAGTGCAGGGCACACATGGTCTCTGACAACATCTGCATTGACTTGACCAAATTGATCATCAGGGGTCACTGCTGTCCCTCCATGCTGTGAGCGATTTCTGGGCTGGGGACAAGCAGTTTATGCTCTTTCCCCAGGGTGCTTCCAGATGAGAACAGGCCATGGAGAAGCCTTCATGCTGCTGTGGGGGATGGCACTGGCAATGAGGTGTGAAATCCTGGATGAGCTGAGAATTCTATCCACCCCAATAGTTTTCGAAGGTCATGGAAGCCCCTGCACCCAGTGCCTGTGTTCAAAATCGCACCACCACAAACCAAACGATTTGATCCGTCCAGTGTGAACCTGGTTCAAAGACAGATGCAGTGCACTCAAGGGGTGAGTACTTGTCTGATCAAGCCTTGCCTGTAAGCCAGTCTCATCCCTGCAGTTTTCCTCCAGCAAGTTTCCATTTTGATTTTTCTTTTGCCATCAACACATCTCTACAATTTGTCAAAACAGGATCCATCTTGATGTTGGCACGACAACATTGACAAAAGAAAATTGCCAAAGATCAGGTGTTGTCCAACAAGGAGTAATAGCATGTTGGGATTCCCTTGCAGGGTAGGAGTGGCCATGATGAGTTAGCTCATGGGGCGCAGAGCCGACCAGAGGTCGTCAAGAATTTAATGCTCCTGATGGAAAATATGGCAAAACTAGCAGATGCCGCCATGATAAGTTCAGGCCCTGCGGCACACTTTAAGGACATGTGCAATCAGTGCCTTCCTGCCCTGAAGGCGTTTCTGAAGAGCAAAAAAGACGACCTCAGGGCAGAGGAGGTGGCCCGATTGATCAGCATCTTTGGTGAGCTCAACATCTCGGAGGACGTCCAAATGTTGATCCTGAGGCAGCACAGCTGGTCGTTAGCAGCCCTAATTGAGAAGTTTGCAGATCAAGTGTCAGAACTCCCTTGCAGGGATGTTGCCAATGCCATGTTTGCGATGGGGAGGTATCAACTGCATGTTCGCAAGCTCCTTGGTCCCAAGGAGTATGCCGATGACCTCTTTGCCAAAATCCTAGAGAAAATAGAACCCATGGAGGATGACATGACGCCTGAGGACTTGTCCAAGGTCATGAACGGCATAGCAAACATGAAGTATCGTGACAAGGGCTACTTGATGCGCATGGTGGACTATTATTTATCAAGACTGCACGAGTTTCGATTGGGAGACCTTGCACGTTTGATCTGGGGGCTTGCTCGCCTAGAGCTACGCTATGCCGACTGCCAGCAGTTTTTGGATGCAGTCTTGCCTGTAGTCCTGGAGAACAGGTCCGCATTCCTGCACCCCGAATATGTGTCTGACATTGTCTGGGCAGCCTCCAGGCTGGAGTGGCAGGGTGTGGATGAAATGTTGGGTGTGCTGTGCAAGGTAAGCCATGCACTGCCGCTCCTTGCCATGCGTCATGATCACACTGTCGTTGCCTTGATGGTGGTACAGTTTGTGTTTTGTCAAATCTGCTCAATATAATGACACACACTCCCAGGTGCTTATTGCCACAAGTAATGCACGCCTTCCCACAGCCCCCTCTATCATATGCCCCAGAGGCAACGCTTCCCATATTGAGCATGAACACTTGTAGCAACAGACTCCTGATTCACCACAGTGGTGTTACAGCCCAGCAGGCTGAATGCGTGGAAACAACCCAGCCACCAGGGAGGTATTCTGTTGAGAATCTATTCACAAAATTGAGCCATAAGCATTGATTTCTTGTTGTGTCCTGACCAACACGAGCGATTGGGTTGGCAGTGCGTGTGGGTGAACGACAACAATGCGCAATTTTGCACCCCAGGCGCACATGGGCTTGGGAACCACTACAGCTTGAGGTCTGACACCACCTTTTTGGCAGGAGCGTCCACCCTTGAGTTTGAGGCTGCATGTGACTGTGTGCCTGGTGTTTTATTCAGATGGCTGACGATGGACTTGAAAAGTTCAAGGGAGAGGAGTTCGCTGCTTTTTGCCTTGGACTGCAGAAGATGCGATACTACCCTGGGGACGACTTCCTCCGGAGGTTCCTGGACACCTTCGCCCAGAAGGTGCCCACCTTCAAGCCTGCCATGGTCACCACTTGCCTCAATGCTGTGGCCAGCTTCGGATTCTACCACCAGCGACTCATAGATGCTGTGCGCGACTACTGCCTGCTCATGGAGCGGCCATTGGAGACCAGGCACTACTTCGACATCTGTTGGTCCTTTGCCATCCTGAGCTGCATGGATGCAGACATGTTCAAGTGGATGGCTGCACAAATCGGCAAGCTGGACCCATGTAGCGTGCGAGACCTGCAAAGGCGGCAATTCTACCAGTGCCTTCTGGACGTCCACATCTTACACCCCACGATAGCTCAGAGTGTTCGGCTGGATCCCCGGTTCGAAGAGGATTGCTATAAGAATTGGAGCGAGAACCAGGCATTGCGCAGGGTCGCACCAAAGCCTGTGATCGAGGCATTCGCACGGTTGAGAAATATGGGCTTCATTTGCACGCGCGGTGAGCTCATAATGGGCAGGAGGTTTGCCATTAATTCCGTGCGGCACAGGGGGCTTGATCAGCGGTTCGCCCTGGAGGCGGACGTCACATTCCGAAATGCGCCGAACAGGCTGCTGGGCATTCAAATTTGGAGGCGCCGGGTTCTGAGGGCGTTGGGGTGGGGAATAATGGACCTCAGTCAGTGGAGGTGGTCCAAGATGTCGAGCGAAGAGAGGGATGTGTACCTGCAGAAGAAAATCCTGTACTTGGTATCCGAAAAGAAGCGTCGATTCACCAGAGCGACAGCGAAGCCAGGTCGCTGATGGCAGCCGGTGCACGGCGGTCGATGCGCACTGTGAAATTGACGCTGGTGATTGCTTGTAAGGTTTTAAATGATGGAGCAATGGAGTTGGTTTGAAGGAACAGGAATTGGTGTCGCTCTTAAATGAGTGGATTGCCTCTTCACCAGGCCTCGGACGCTTAGGGCAGTGCTAACACCACAGCAGTTCATCAGAACATTCAACGCACCTGCCAACCTGAAGAACGCCCGTGGATCTTGCCCAGTATCGCTAGCCTGGGGTGTGAACAACAATGCAGCAACTGAGAGACATGGTACGAACGCCAGGAGTCGCTCGTTCTGGACAAATGGCCAGCACTTGGCGGTGTGAACGGTGCGGCGTGCAGCTGCAACTGTGTACGACTTGGAGCATTCCGTAGGGTGGGAAAAAATCCTTGGATACCTTGGTACTCTTGGGGAACTCGAATGTGCCTCTCGTAAGGGACACACTGCCTGCCCAGGTCACTCTCGAATATGCCCCAAGTGCGTCGCCGAAACCGAACGCACAGCCTACTATTGCGCAGCAGGACAAGAGGCAGCACGACGTTTACAAACTTGTGCACCCACCTCTTGCAGTCTTCCAGCCAGTAAGCCACTGAGCTATCAAGGGTGTCCACAGGGTCGGGAACATTCTGCCACAAGGACTCTCCCCCCCCCAGAAAAAAGAAGTCACAACCTGCGTCTCACAACCTGCCTGCAATGTTGCAGTTTATATCGCGTCCTACGCAGACTCCAGTTCCTGTTCCTCACCACCTGTGCTGCATCCGGTCCCTGGACACACCGTCCTGCCCCCCCCATGTGAGCTGCCTTGGCAGGGAAAGAAGCACTCGTCCCTGCTCCCTGGCATCCTGTCCCTTCAGCCTCTCAGCGGCGTCCGCCAGATCGGCGCTCCCTTCCGCGATAGCTGTGCCAGCCCCCAGAACCTCCCCCTTCCAGATCACCGACCATGACAGCGTCCCGCCGCCCCGCACAAAGGTGTACGGTCCCTGGCACTCCAACTCCATGTAGAGCCCGCCGGGGTCCCCGTACAGCTCAATCTCAGACTCGCCCGGCGCAAATTGCGCAGCCCCAATGTCTTCGAACTGCTGAAGGAGGAGCACGCCGGTGGAGGCCACAGTCTGGGCGTGCGCCAGCCACCCGCCAGCGCCATCCCCAAAGTTCTTTTGGGCCACGCCCGGGTAGGTTGCCCACGAATAGCCCAGGGACGTGTTCATTTCGAACGACGACGCGGGCGTCGCCCCCTGTCCGGTGGGATAGAAAGTCACCCCGCGGTCCACGCGCGTGACCTGCCATCCCGCCATTGTGACGTCCGACTCCCCCGTGTTCGTCACATCGTAGACGACCTCTATTGCGTTGGCGCCGGCGGGCCGGAACGTCTTCGAAACGGACACCGTGGTGTCCCGCAAGCTGATGTCCTCGTCGGCCGTCACCTTCACCAAACCCTCCCCAAATTTGGCCGAATAGTGACCAGTGTCAATCGCCGCGGGCGGCGGCCAACCCCAATCGGCCTGCGGACTAGTCCAGAATGTTGCGCCGGACTCCGCCGCCTGGCTGTCTGCTTGCGTGAGCGTTTCAACGCCATCGATCTTGCAACTCGTGATGCGACCGCCGGCGTTCGCCACTCGCATCACAAGGCGGCCCACTCCAATCAGCACGCCATTATCCTGGCCGACAACAGTCAAGGAGGGCGAATGGTCTACCTCGTCGCCGCCCTTGCCTGCAGCGGAACCGGACGACGGCCCTCCTCCGCTGAGGACGCTGCTCGACCGTGCGGCTCCCCGACGATCCGCTCCTGGCGTCCAGCCCCATTCCTCGACGACATGTTCGCTCCCCAAGGAGGCACCTATCGGGGATCGTGGAAACGCGTTTGCCGCCCAACGGCCAGCCGCCGCTATGAGACACAGAAAGGCGACAGGCGTGGTGGCCGCGCTGGAGCGTGCCATCACCCAGGGGACGCCGTGGCACTGTTGTTGGGTGCAGTGGTTGAGGTTGTGTCAAAAGAAGGCTCATCCAAAGGTCCTGCTTCAGACTTTCAAGGGAGAATTTCTGCAATGGCAGTGAATGCAACTTGATTGCACACTGCGCAGAAAGTGGTGACGCAACGGTTTCGCCTCATACTCCGTGGCTGCGGTACCCCTCTTCGACCACGGACCTGCCGTTCTTCGTGCTTGTGCTGGCGTCTGGCTAGCAAAGACTCCGCGAGTTCCACCCGCTTCTTAGCAGGCTGCCCCCAGCTCAGGTTTCTACCTTAGGCTTCCTTCCCAGCTCGTCGCTATCCCTCATCATAGGCCTAAGGGGCATCTCCCCTTTCATCATCATCATCATCATCATCATCATGATTTTTTTACAGAACAAGGCCCTCACGTTCTCCCCTTTCACGTTGCACTTGAGCATGGTTCGAACGCAGCTTCAAAATCATAGCACACCGCACCGATGCGTACCGAGGCAGCCAAGCACAACGCTGTTATCAGGCCATTGTGTGTTGGTACAAGATCCACATTTGGGAACCATGCAACTTCCAGAATGCAATAAAATCGGGCCATCCCGGCTGGTGAGTTGATCGGCAATGCTGTGCTTGAGGCCAGTCGACCACCACAGACGCATGGGCCACGTGCGAAATGCTGGCCAGTGTGTGGTAAGTTGAGCAAGGCCTGGACGGGGGTGGCCAATGCAGTGCTGGCAAAATATCCGGTTCATTTGTGCAGGGAGGACGAAAGCAGGTCGTGTATAAATGAGCGTCCCGAATCGACTGCAAACGCTCCAAGCATTCACCCGGCAACACGGGCAGCTCACTCCCTGGAGGCCCACCGCCCGTGCCCCAACGCGCCAAGCCGCTCAGCCGCGCGCGCCGCCGCACTGCTCGCCGCCCACCGCCACAGACAGTCGCAGGGCGCAGACCGCCGCACCAGGCTCCTGCACGCCGCAGCGCCCTTCGCCCACCAATTGGCGGGGCAAGATGGCTGACGGAGCCTATTTCGTCGGGAGGCACGAGCTGCTGGCCTGGATTAACTCCACACTGGACCTCAACATCACGAAGGTCGAGCAGGTGGACTACGTTGCCCCCTGGCCTGTGTTACATTCCCCAATTCAAGTGCCTGGCCGACACTGACGACTGCACGGTTGCCTGCCTGCCAGACTGCGTCGGGCGCCGTCGCGTGCCAGCTCCTGGACGTCCTGTTCCCCGGCGAATTTCCCTTGCAGAAGGTGGGATGCGGGAGGGCGGCGCGCGAGTGCGCCCGGCACCACCGGCGGCCGTGCAGCCGATCCCGGGTTGCTTGTCGAGACGGACTCTTGAACCGCGAATGCCTGAGCTCGTGCGGGTGGCTGCCGCTCTAGGAAGATCAAGAGGCCGGAGGGCTTGACGCGTTTGTCGCGTCGCGGTGCCGGGCACCCCGCTGTTGCTTCCCTCGTGGCGAGCGTCGCCATCACGTTTGTCAGCAATGCAATCGCCCGGAATAAATTACGACATTCCGTTGGTGGTCCCTCGCGGTCGTCCCAGCGATGCTCGCGGGAGCGGGAGCTAGATGGGCTCGGGCTTAAACCGTGTGCAGCGGAGCCCCTTCGTGGGCTGACTCCGCGCTGCTTCTGAAGGCGGAACTCTCAAGGTGCTTTGTTGCAGGTGGACTTCAACGCGAAGAACGAATACGAGATGATCAACAATTACAAGACACTGCAGGCATTCTTCACGAAGAAGGGCATTGAGAAGGTGTTGTCTGACTGTGCCGTGGCTGTGGTGCCTTGTTGTGGTCATCGTTCACATGAACTTCAGTTTGCTCGCGCCCAACACGCCATGTGACTTTGGCACTCTTGGACTTATGCAGTGCACATCGCCACAGGCCCTGTGACAAACGTTGCACAGGTGGCCTTCGTAGATGACATTGATGGCCTCTGGCCTATCGTTGCATACCTTATGCACAAGCCTGGGACAAGTGCACAAGGCAAAGCCCTTCAACATTGACATCTTCAATGCGAGCAACCCTGTGGAGCCGCTAATAAGAGACGTTGTTGCTTGCAGAGTGTGCAAGTGAACAAGCTCATAAAGGGCCGGCCATTGGACAACATGGAGTTCATGCAGTGGATGAAGTCGTTCTTTGACAGAGAAACGGGGGGCATGGGCGTCCCTGAGGACTATGATCCTGTTGGCAGGAGGATGGTTTGCAAGACGGGCGACTTCAAAGGGCCCAATGGCACTGCTGGGGGGCGACCCTCCAGTGCAACCAAGCGAGCCACACCCACAGGTTTGTTGCTTGTTTGTTGCATCTGCATGGTTGGTGGCATACAAGTCGCGGAAACCATCAATACACAAAACCTGTTCTCGCAGGGGAGTGCCCACCTCTGGCCCCTACCACCAGTAACTCATTGGCCCTGCAGAAGCAAACACGAGCCACAAAGTTCACCCAGCGACTGAACAAAGTTGAGGAACCCAAGGATCTCTCACCAAAAAGTAAACCTACAAACTGGAATCACAGCCATGTTACGATTGTGTCAAAGCAACATGTGCCCCACGTCTCAGCATCTGTCTTTCGTGCCCAGGTTTGTCCAACAAGCCAACGTCCGCCAGGGTGAGAAAGCCCACTACTCTGACAAAGAGACCGGCATCTGGCTCTTCAGGCAAGGCGACGCCACCACCAGCAGCTGCAGCCAGGCCGGCTGCGGGGGATGATTGTGGAGAGGCAAAGCCAGATCATGGGGACAGCGCTGCTTATAGTGCTGAGCTGGCTGCCAGGGAAGAAGAGATTAAAGAACTGACAGCCCAGGTAGTTGCAGAAAACAGTGCAGTCGTCCTTGTAGTGTAGTGGGAGAAGGACACAGAAGCACTGTGCAATTTTGGTTTGTGTGAACTGCACGCACTCACTGATCAGAACAGAACTGCAAGTCAATCCTCTTTTCGTCCTCTGCATCGGTGCATTCTGGTGCATTACTGATTCATGATGTTGGATTGGCAGGTCAACGAGCTGCGGCTTCAGGCAGAAGAATCCCTGCGGGAGCGAGAGTTTTACTATGGGAAGCTGAGGGAGATTGAGATCCTGTGCCAAACACCCAATATCAGTGATAACCCGGTGCGAACAGAAGTTGCGCCTTTGGAGCACACCTTTGCTAATTTCATGGTGATCAGCTCTCTGAAGCTGTTGTCAGGGAATTCCAAGCATGCTCCCTTCTCCAGAAAGTGATCATACCAGGCGTCCAAATGGCAGATTCAATGGGATTGTGTAAGGGATCGTAGCTGTTAATTATGTAACCCCCACCCCATGCCATGCTGAGGTGGCCTCATTTGGTTGTGCTTGTTAGCTACAAAGGTACAGCTTTGTGCCAAACCCAGCAAATGTTTTGCAGCATCTGGAATATTGACAGCTGCAGATTAACAGTCGAATAGACGTACAAAATGCCCACAGTGAAAGGCACTGTCTGAAGTTGGCCATGCTGTTTGCAGATGATCAAGGTTGTTGAGCAGGTCTTGTACGCCCCCAATGAAGAGCAAGCAAGGGAGATTGTCCGCCAGACACAAATGGAATATGCTGGCCAGGTTTATGTTGATGCCGAGGAGCAAAATGGTGCCGGCGAGGGCCAGGAAAATGGAGGGTAGCATGGAGCACACAGGGCAGCTGGCACCCCTCTGTGAGTTTTGTGGCAGAGAATTATGATCCGTTTCCTCATGTTGGTTGTACCCAAGTGCAGTAGTATGAAGTCGTTGAGGCTTTGGAACAGTGCGTGTGGAACAGGCAGTCTGTGCAGTCTGTGCAGGCCATTGCATGTGCTGGGAGCAGCAGGGAGAAACATTGTGGGATATGGTTGCTTGTGTGTTCGTTTGCGCTGGGTGCCCAGCGATGGCATTTGTGGTCGCTGCTGCCACCCTTCTTAACATGTTGCTGGGCAGCATTTCTCCACTGCGAATGAGATGTTTGCAGGGAGTTTTTTGAGCTGTGAGAGGTCCTGTCTTGCGGATGGCAGGGAGTGTGGCCTCTTGGTTCAAAGCTTTAGGGGGTGGGATTTTGGTGACTTTCGCGATGAGGGTTGCAGATCCCTAGATTGTAGGCAAACAGCTTGAAGGGCAAGGATGCGGTGCAGGTGGTCAGTTGTTGCTGTGGCTGAGAAATCCTTAGGAGGTTCGATTCAATGTGCAGTTTGCGTGCTGTAGCACGGCAAGGGGGTGGTGCACGATAAACTGAGTTACGACAGAAGTGGCTGGTTTTGAGGAAGAAAGGACATGTCTGAAACTCAACTTGAATAACGCGGGAGGAATCTTCTATGCTATGCTTGTGCATGCTCTCTGGCCCCACTTGTGGCAACCTGTTGTTTCGCGTCCAGCATCTTGCAAGCCATCCCACAGCAGAGGACAGAGGCCATTGCTGGCCCATTGTGCAATTCGCTCATGGCTGAATAGGAGCCTGAGCTGGGCACACGGTTCTGAGGTAAGGGTTACACAGCTTTCGAGTTCAAGACTGAAGGGCTCTGACTTGGCATTTCACATTGCTGCCAAAAAGGCAACGATGCTCAGATCCTTCAGAATAACCTCTGATACCCTTGATGCTCTCTGGTGATGTTGAAGTCGCCAATGGCTGCCACCAAGCATGTCCGCTTGGTTGGGTGCCTGGCTGCTGCCCTGGGGTTCGCTCTAGTGCGGAGCAGGCGGGACGTCCCTGTGGGCGCTTGTCAACTTATGCAGCAAGCTGTGCAGCATTTGGGCGAACATAAGCCACCCAAAGACGCAGACAGGAGAATGGGTGCAATGGCTTTGGTGCTTTTCTGACTGCCTGAACAGCAGCGGTGTTGCATCTCGGTGGCTGGGCCAAAGCGAAACTCTGCTTTTGACTGCATGCTGTTGCCCGGCACAGTGAGGCACGTCTGGCTAATCTGGCAGCGATGGTATACCGCAAGGAGAATGCCAAGTCGGCACAAGCGGTGATAAGTTGCTGCGATGGTGGTGGCCTTTGATGGATCACCTGCAAATTGTATCACAGGCCAGCCGCTGCCTTGGATGCGTGTCGGTCCCGAAATATGGACCACCTATATCAGTGCACAGCATTCACAGTGTTCGTGGCGCCCGAGCGACCGCTTTCGACCAGCTGGTTCCCAAATTCTTCAGTACAAACCACAGCGCGAGATCACGCACCGATCGTCACACCTTGGCTTCAGCAGTACCCAATCAGGAGGTCGTCAATAGCTCATGCCTCTCGCCTGCATTGGCGGAGTAATGGACACTAGCCCCCGCTGGTCGCTGCCCTTCTGCCACAATGCTCCCCGGTGAAGAGCTTGATTCAACAGCCCCCCTGCCACAGCCTCTTCTGTGTCAATGATTGTCGTTCTTGCCTCTGCGACCTTCGACTGCTTCACTAAAGCTCGCCGGAACAGCATTTTCAATGTCCTGTTCATTCGAGAGCGATCAGGTACTTCGGGGTGGGCAACGAGATCCAGCAAAAACAGGAAGGTTGTGTTTATGCGGATTCGAGGCACACGGGAGCCGCCAGCGCCCCCTGTCACGTTCTCGTAGTGTGGCATGACAGCGGGCCGATGGTGGCATGCCCTGAGGGTGGGTTTTGCAGAGATGCACGCGTCCTCTAAACGACTTACATAGTCGAACATTGCCGTTGCCCAGGTCCAGAAACCTTCCCCTTTGGCCGTTTTGAAACCTAAGAGCGCACACGTCCCTTCAAATAGCCAACCGTTGGGGCTCGGACGTATACAGGTATGTCCCAGGGCCAATTCCAATCAAGCTGGCTGCCCTGCAACAAAATCCAATAAGAGAAGCCACTACTGCTTCCCCCATGCCTCTAAAACTCATGTCACTGAGCCTCAAGCCATTCTGAGCATTCCACCACCACTCTAATGATGCCTCTTGTAATCAATAATCCAGTGATTTACAATCCAGTCACAGCTATTTAGAGATTTACCTGAAAAACCGTCACAGCTGTCCTGAAGGATGTCAAAATCCCACCAATTACTTTCCTACTTGTCCCCATTATATTATTCCGCGTTTCCCGGCGGAAAAAACTGCAGCAAAGCATAATCTGCATGCCGATATATCATGTTTCAATACATCAACCATTCTATTCGAAGTCCCAACTCCACACCACTCTGAATACGTTTCCGCAAGCTTGTTATTTACGCCGGAAACATGGATCGTATTTACGTTTTATGCATAAAAATAGGTTTTACCTTTTTATGCATGCAAGTAAGAACCCGCCAACCACCTGCGCGGCAGTGCGGTTCCAGGGGATAGCCCGGCGGGCGGCCGGAGGGCGTTCCCTGGGGCCCCGGTATACAGCGGTCGTAATGTTGGGCTGCACAGCAGCTGTGCAGTTGGGCGATACTGCAGTGTGGAGCACGGTGTTCCAAGCAGGAGTACGAAGTAGAGCGTGTGGGTATGGGACCGGAGCTGCCGGGTTTGATGCGCACGTTCTGGGGAAGGTCCAGACTATGAGTTCGTCACTGGCAAGGGCAGATGAGGTATGCAAACAGTGGCTCGGCGCCGCAGCACTCCGCTGCCCTAAGGGGCCGCAGCTCGGGAGCGGAGAGCCACAGAGGAGCACAGCCACACAGGAGCACATATCGTATGTACGTTTTACGGCAAAAACATTTCTTACGCTTTATGTGTGAAAACGGGTAAAAATACGTAAATACACCGTGAAAACTGCCCCGCGCACATAATCACAGTACATACAGCCTTCGGGACTCAGGAGAATGGCATCCAAACGCACTGTAATGGGCAGAAAAAGAATTTTGTTCCACTCCATTGTGGCCTTTGCCGAGTGGGAAGCGGACACTGTGTTGCGAGCGCTCAAAGGGAGGAATTACTTACCATGGTACGCAACTTTCGTCGTGTAAACTGGGTGTCACAACGAGTTGCCAAAACGTAAAAGAGCCATAAAAATAGCTTCTTCTGCAAATTTGCGTTTTCACGAGCAAAATATAAACGTAAGAACGTAAACGTAAATGTAAATAACAAGCCTGCCTTTCCATTTACGCTTACATATTCACGCATCTTTTTGACGGCTGTTGATACACACATTCATCACTATATGGGCCATTTCCACTTATAAGGACTTTTTCCCAATCCTCATGCACTTGCTTAAGGGCACCGGTGTTGTGGCTTCCCTCGGCGTAAAAGGACGATTAAATATAAAGAGCGGCAAATTCAAATTGATGGTGCGCTTGCAGCGAACTCTTGACCCCGTCGATCATTCTCAGCTTTGCGTTATTTGTATATCGTCTTATCGAAAACCAAACTGAAAGTGGAAAGTTCTTTTTCCACCCTTGTTATTAAGCTCATTTTGCATGGGTCACCGTAAACTTTTCCTCAAAGCCTAATAAGTTGTTTGGGGGATAGCGCTATCACCCAGCTCCTGGGCACATTTCAATTCTGCTTCCCAGGTTTGGGCAAGGCAGCCCATACAGCGAAGTGAGGTTGTACAAGACCTCGGTAAGAAGGAACCCAATGTTTCTATTTTCAATACACTCTTCAATGATCTCATGGGCCCTGGGCCCTCGCCCGGCCCGAATTTCTTAATCATCGTCAAAGCACCCCAAGCGGTAACCCCTTCATCTAGATCTCCCTCACTAACACTGTATATGACAGAATTTCGCAACACAATAAGATGTTGTGAGTGAAATCCACTTTTTCATAATACGAATGGCGGGGTTCGACGTGCATGAGTACCTAAATTCGCCCTTTTCGAAGTGAAATGGAATGTGAATATGGTTGTGGGGACTGCGGGTCAAGTCCTTGTGATGCAATGATATGGTACCGTGAGCCAAGGCACATTTGATCGAGATGCATGTTGAAGAAAAGTAGAAGAGAAGAGATTTCAATTAGCAAATTCGAATCACATATAGCAGGGCAATGTTCAGATTGTTGAGGGTTTGGAAACGGGCGCAGCACATCACATAGCCCATCAATTTCTCTGTGAATTCTCTGAATTTTGCATAGATACGCACCCGCCCAGAGTGTATTTGCTTTGGTTCTGGTGTGTTGGTCTAACGAACTATACTCGGGTTCGATTGCATCCATCATGCATTCCCATTTCGCATTGCTTTGTGTGGTCCGTCGACATTTCGTGAACGACCCGATGCGGAGCATCCCGACAGATTTATTTTGAGTTGAAAACTTCGCCTGTTTTGTTGGTGAGATTGCCAATGGACATCGGCATGGGTGCCGATGTCCAGCAGATCTCACGGTTTCCATTCATGGGATCCGCAATGCATGGAAGGCAAGAAAGGATAACACCCCTTCGAACACGCTCCCAACTTCCACACACCCTTCACACTATGCTTAAATGGCTTCAAACTAGAGGTGGCCACTCAAAGGTGCCATCCGGTCTGTTAAATCCGGTTCGTTAATTTTTATCAGCTGTCCGTTAAATTTCATTAAAGAAAAAGTGAGAAAAATTCAGAAAAAACGAAAAAATCAAAAAAAATCGAAAAAAAACCCAAAAAATCACAACAATTGCGGCTAGTTGAAAATCTAGTATGCATAGGTTGAAATAAAATACAAACATACTCTCTAATAGAGAATTCCATAAACTATAAGTATGACTAAAACCCAAAAATCCCCAAAAAATCCAAAAATCCGCTAATTTTTGGTTAATT